AACCCTTTCTCTGTTGATAACATTTGAGATACAGCACCAAAACTTGTTAGTTATTTGTCAGTCGGTGCACCAAACGTAGGCCACGAAATAATCCTTAGTTTCTCCATCCTAGGCCACCCCTCACACTTTAGCTTATTTTGGCCTGTTGCAAAAAGGAGTTCACAATATCAAAAAGCAACATAATGACTTTTAATTATCATAATGAAAAAAAAAACAAAAGTGGTAAAATTACCACAAACTCAAACCCATTTAAAATATAAGTATAATTCATTCAATATTTAGAAAAAGTAATACATTTGTGCATCTACTTTAATTGATATCTACAAAAAAACACTTGTATGTTTAATGACACTGACATGCATTTATGGTAACACTTGTGTGGTATTTTCACCACGGGTCAGTGGTCATAATGAAACACCTATGGCAACAATAATCAGTTTAAGGCATTTTTTCGGGTTTGTTTCAATAAGGTGTTATTTAGTTTTAGTAAGTGTATGAATTATTGTAACCATTTGTTGTTTTAAGAGTTTATTACTAGAGAGTTACTTTATTTGTTAGTTAGTTAACCCTTTCAAGACGGGTCATGGGTGAAAGGCCATGTCATCTCGTTCATTGACTTGCATTCAAAATTTTATTGAACTGCTATTTCATGAATTTATGTCAATAACTTTGGTATCAAACTGTAGATTATAATTCAGGTCTTAGTACTATATATTACTCAACTTCTTAATTTAAAAGCAATTATTAAAAAAACACAGATAAACATCAATTTTTGTGTGACACAAGGTAAGTTGAATGCAGCACTGGTTCAAATTGGATGCTTGTGAAACCAAAATACTAAGTCTATAGTTTTGTACGAATTAGAAACTTAAATTATGGATATTGACAAGCTAGAATATAAAATAAGAGCGTCTTATCTTTTCAATTTGCTAAGATATTGCTAATGTAATAAATCAAACACAATGGCATCCTACCCACCTCTTTTCACTTTTGGAAACGTCCCCTTATATACACTTACTTCAATATATGACATAAATAACCAATCAGAAGCTCAGAATGTCCCCCTAGTGGGTCTCAACCATTTTAACAGTCTTGGCACCATTTCTTTCTTTTGAACCAATATTTTAACAAGGTAGGGTGTGTGTTTAGTCAGCTCAAAATTTCATATTTTTTTTAGATTAAAATAAAAAATTAGTTATTAAGCTTGATAAATTATAGTTGAATTCTATGGTATTGATGTAGTAATTTATGATTTTTTGGTTATTCAACTGTATATATAAAACCTAAAAAAAATATTTTGTTTCATATCCTCCACATTTTAAAAGGCTTAGCAATCTACATCAAGCAGCAACCGAGTACAAAGGTCATAACTAGAAG